CGCCTAAAAAGGAATAAAACGAAGAAAAAACTGCGGATGAGGAATCCTTCAAACTGATGTTCACATCCTCTTCCGTTTCCATACAACATACTCACACAATGCCCGTAATTGCAGCATCAGTGCTTTCCTACAGAAAACAGACCAAGCAGTAGATGTATTGAAACACAGGAACTAAATTATGCCACGACACACGCTAACCCGGCGGCACAGAGCCAGCGCGTTCCCACAAATGCCACGCATGGAAGGGTGTAATGGAATCAGGTTGTGCATACACGGGCTGGTCAGCTTTATCAGTTACTAGGGCCGCGTACATCTTCGGTCACCAGATCAAGACGGGTGAAGGAGTGTTGCAGATTCTGCAAAATTAAGAGTTACTATAAGCGAAGATACGTGCAAATGACTGTGCAAAGGCACCTAGTAGGCATGCTGTCCGCAGCAGCCAAACTGTCCCCAAGAAACACAGTTTACCAAGTAGATATTGGACCCAGCGACAGCGGCTACCGACCTGACCCATGCAAGTAAACATAAAACGTACTCCACTAGAATGTCAGGTCACTGTAGGGAAAACGGATGGAGCAGTAGTAAATGAAAGCCACCACGTGCTATTTTTACAGTTTTGTAGAAATTTCAGCTGACAGACGTGAAGGACAGTGGGAGTATGGTGAACTAACTACGCGTGCAACGCTCAGGTTCTCGCGGCTGGTAGCAAGTGCGCACAAACCTGTGCCTGTCTACCCCAATCTGGTCTGGCCAATCATGTGTCCCAGTGGGTGACTCACAAATGACCGCACTGTAGACGCTATGTTGACTCCTGCGTTCTCACACATCCAATGCCCCCCCCCCTCCGCGGGTGATCCTGCATTCGCCTGATTGTCGATGTCCTCCAACCTATTTTCCACTAACTGTATATACAGAATATACTATTCCTTTCATACGTCATCCCACTTCCTCTCTTCTCACATGGAACCGGGCCTGAAGGTCGCAGCGGCCTATTATTAGCCTAAACCACCGCGATATTGGTGACCGCGGCATGATCCACACACGCAATTTCTACAGGTGGCTCGGCTGAATCATCACAAAACCTCCCTCGAATACAATTGAATTTTCCTGTCATCTGGCTCGGGCTATTACCCTTGCGTTGTCAAAGACGAAAACGTGGTTCTTTTGCTGTGTGTGGTCATAGACCATAGAGAGCGTATCACTGCGGTTGATTGCCTGTTGATGCTCATGCAACCTGCTGTGAATGTAGCCAAAGCTGAGATATCGCCGTCTAATTACGCCTCGTGTGAGCCCCCAAGGAAGAACACAACAAGAAGAGCGCCAAAGTAGAAGTCCTTGTACAAATGTAGTACAGC